CAAGTCGAACGCAAAATGAAAGAAAAATAATGAAATTATGTGAGACGTGGCCACGTGTATAGCGATAATTACGGAGAGAAGCTTATGCCGGTGGCGAGGGTAGTGGGCACGACCGCTTTTGGCTGCCGGCTTCCTGCGGGTCTGCGACCTCCTCAAATCTTTGAATTTGCGGCGTAAATCCCGTGAGCTTTTTAAATAAATAAAGCTCTAAACGTAATAAAAAAGCAAAAGAAAAAGAAAAAGAAAAATGATGGCTTAAAGAACAACCAAAATGATCATAATGGTAATGTTTTCCCAAAAACACAGTTCAAATTTTATTTAGTTTTATAGGAAAAATCAGTTGAAATTAAATGTGAATAATCAACTGCATGGAATTTATTTATGAGTAATATTGATATTATTTTTCAATATTAGAAACAGTTTCTAAATCCTTTATCAAACGAGCCCTAAATCTAAGAAAATGTTTAAGCTAATGCTGTACATTAAACAATGTTCTTAGGGGCAATAATTAATTAATTAATTTAATCAAGCATGGCTTAACTTGCAAGCAAATCTTTGCGGTGGTCTAAAGCTCTCCATCTTTAATTTATGTTTATGTTTCGAATAGTGCTTAACAATGGATTCCAGCTACACAATAATAATATTAATCATATTAAATGTTGAGAGTCACATCGGGTAATTTTTTTTATTTTTAATACAAGCGATTTGCAGATAAGGGTTTACATAAATATTCATTGAGTGTCTGAGGGTTTCGAATTTCTGCCTACATCATATTGGTAGAGGTGAAAAAGTTCAACCAACTGAGACATCATTGACCACATCATGCAATTTTAAGATAATACAAAATGTAAGAGAATTTTACTATATATACCAAAGATATTACCAACACATAGATAATATATTCTGATAGGGTGGAATTATAAATGTTTTCACGGGTGGGTTAACTAAAGTTATTAGCTTAAAATTTAATTATCACTTTTTTTGGTACTTGCAGATTCTATACTCTTTCTAAAAATAAAAGTATACACTAAATCATATAAACCACACTAGTTCACCAACGAGGTCTAGCCCAGTGTATAATGGCCTTGACTTCCAAACCATTGGTCTTAGGTCTAGCCCAGTGGATGTGTCATACCATGTCAATTAACGAATGTTACCAGTGTATTATATTTTTTATTTATTCTCTGTTCAATAATTCTTTTTAAATTTTTTAAAAAAACTCTAGTGTCCAAGTGGCCTCACATATGTTCTCAACTATTTCTCGCGTCTCCAGCACCTCCAGCACTTCCTTCCTCCATTGTTGTTGCATTGTGATAGGAGTAACGCTAGAACATAGCTGAGAGTTGGAGTCCCCTCAATTACCCAGATATATAACTGATGCTTTTAGCCACAGAAAGATACATTGAAATTGTAGTGATGAGGAACTTAATCTTGAAGAAACGGAGGAGGAGGGGAGAGAGAGAGAGAGAGAGAGAGAGAGAGAGAGAGAGGTTATGGGTAAAGGGGAGATGAAGATAATTGGTTTTAAAGGAGCACCGTCCGATTTTCTTAAATCATATTCTTCCCTCCCATTTTCTTCATCCTGATCCAAGTCAACTTTCCCAATAACATAAACACACACTATAAATATAAATATAAATAATTCATTCATTCAACCTAGTTAGATGATCTTCAGAACTAATCACTGTTTTGCTGGAAACCAATTATTAATTGTTAGTGCTATTATTTTGGAGGAAGGGAGTGCTGGAGGTGCTGAAGATGCGAGGAAGAGTTGAAAACAGATGTGAGGCCACTTGAAGAGACACTAGGGTTTTTATTTTATTTTAAATATATTGAAAAGAGAATAAATTCAAAATATACACATGACAACATTAATTAATTGATATGACATGACCGTATGATGTGGTTAGCTAAGATGGTCAATATTGTGTGTCTAAATAACATGTATTTAGTCTAAAACCAATTGGAAGTGTATGGAGAGGCTCAAGTGCATGCATGAACTAATATAAAGTAATATTTTTTTTAACCATATTTATGTTACATCATTATCACTAATTAGTGTCAGCAAATTGCATTGCTTAGACATGAGAAATTTTAAAAAAGTTAATCTGTCGGTGGGCAGAAGAAAAGATGGCACAAATTATTCAATGCATTTACATTATTTAGTTCCCTGATCAACTAATAATCGCGATTGACTGATTGACAATGTTGAAAATCCAAGGAATCATAAGCAACGATTTTTAGGGTAAGTTCCAAAATGCAAACAGTAAAAGTTGGTTTCCTACATCTAATATAGAATTGTATGTAACAATTTTTGTTCGGATGTTAAAAAAAGTCTCGAGCTCGAATCTTCTTCTTTCACTAAATATAATGAAAAAGAAAGTAGTACAAATAAAAATTTGACAACATAAAACGCTAAACCATACAAGGGGGGATCAGAGTGAGGACCACATTTTGTGAAATATGAACGTGATCCATTATCCAAGCCGAACCTCGAATGATGAAACTACATATCCATAGAAGAAATGTTTGAAGCTTGTACCCATTAGACCAATCATTATTCTTCCACAAACACACCGACAAAAGGTGGGTTCCATGTATTCTATTCCAACCCATCTTTTACTTTTTCTAACTTAAAATTTTTTTTTTTTTTGGGGGCCAAAAATATGCATAATTTTCTAATGTCTGTGGGGTTAACATTTACAATGATTCTATAATTTGGTGAGGCCTGGCGGTGCAAAGGCAGCTTTTGATTGAGTCACAAAGCAGAGACAAAGATAAATGGTATCTTATTCCTTACTCTTCTTATTTATTTATTTATTATTATAGAGAGAGAAGCAACTTGGGTCGATAGAGTCGAAAAGATTAAGGCCCCTCTCTCACTTTCACCATGCCCACTTGCCTCATCAAGTATAGTGGAATAGGAGAGAAATTTTTTTACCTTTTCCTCACCCAAAAATCAAAGTCATTAGTGTTAACTCGATATACATTCAAATTTAGTGACTGCCAAAAAATACCCCGAACATCTTGTTTGAGCTCGCTCGAAATACCAGTTTCTTAATCAACAAAGCAATAAATTTTCGTTCATAAGATTTTGTTAACTTCTTTTAACAACTTAAACTATAGGTTCCCAATGGATAAAAATAGTTGGATATTTTTTTTTGGGTCATAAAAAAAAATTAGTTGGAATTTGTTAAAGTAGTAGAGTACAAAGCAATTCTCAGAGAGAATAATTTCCACGTTGTATTTTTCTGACAAAGCTTCTACCCTTTCTTGCTTAAGGTGCGGTAGTTTATACAGACAGGATAAAAAATAAAAAAGACCAAGAGATAAATATCTGATTTTCTTTTGAAAACTCCAACAAGGACCAAAACCACAAGTTCTTATTTTCTCAATAATCTAAAGTGACAAGTCTCATCCAGATAACATCATGTTTTGTTGTGAAGCCAGACTGCCAACCAGCAGAGGTTGCATTATGCATGGCTGTCAAACAAGGACATCTACATATATAATAATGATTGATTATATGATTTTTGGTCTTTTCTTGGGTTTGCTCATGGAACCTGCCATGCAAGTATTATGCAATACTTCACCTGCCCTTTTGTTGTTCTTCTTCTTATTCCATGGTATCTTATGGTTCAGTCAATTTGACTAAACCTGGATTATGAAGATATTTACTAACCTAAACCAAATTTCCTATGATTTAATTGATTCCCAGAAAGTGTTACTTCAACTTTTTGAAAAGTTTGTATCTGTTTCTCTAAGATCACATGCATCCTATCCTCAACGAGTTTGAGACCTGTCAATCCTCAATCCCCACTTCTTAGGGAATCATACGTTATGCATACATGGGATCATATTGCTTGCAATTATTCCCAATCCTAAATTCATCGTGTAAATTGGGATAACGTTACCATACGAAGGTTTTATAGCTTTAGTAGTAAAATTTTTACTAATACATTCACAACAAAAGTTCGACTTTTACCTTCGCCTATGTCCTCTCCCCTACCCCCTCTCTCAAAACTTACATGTTCGAATCGGCACTAAATTTTTTAGCATGTTTAATAAGCTATAAGATCTAAATAACAACTATGAAAAAAAAACCAGTTCAAATAGAGAAGTGATCAATATTGTTGAATATTATTGATCAGTTTCAACAACATACAACGTTCACACTATTGCCATGATCATCTTAATGAGAGCACCAATCTACAACTAAATGCCATGAGAGCCACAAGAGTCGGACAGCTACATGCACCACCACCCCTCTTTATCACTACCATCACTAACTAGACCCGTCATTAGGACCAGCACAAGAGTCGGATATCTATACCAGAGTCATTGGGACCAGCTCACAACAACATTGGTAGCTGCTGTCACAATTGCCTAGTGCTTCCGCCACTATTAAATAGTAATACTACTGCCGTCGTTGTCCCGGTCCTCTTCATATCGTCATTGCAACTATGCTCGTAGACAAGGAAACTATGTATCCGGTAGCCTTCGCTGCCACCATTTTTTGCACCATTATTATCTCCGACAGTAGCTATTTTACGTTTTCTAGCATGCATTTGAAGATTTTATCAAAATACAAATACTAAAATTACTTTTTCAGCTCTTAGAAATTTAGCAATCATAAGTCAGTATTCAATGTTTAATTTTCATTTTTGTCAAACAAACTCTAAGACTTTGGTCATCTGGGACCTCTTGACATACTTTGACAGACATTTGGTGCTTACAT